GCTGCCCAGGGAAGTGGTTGAGTCACCATCCCTGGAGGTATTTAAAAGATGAGTAGATGAGGCGCTCAGGGACATGGTTTAGTGGGCATGGTGGGGTTGGGTCGATGGTTGGACTCGATGATCTTAGAAGTCTTTTCCAACCTCAATGATTCTATGATTCTAAGTCCTTTGGCTTTCCCTGCCTGCACCAAGAAAAGGCTGGGCTGCGATGGGCCTGGTATGGTTTTGGGGTACATCCTCTCTGCCGCAGCTGCTTTGCTGGCTCTGGAGGGGCGTGGGTGGCAGGGTTTCAGTGGTCTTTGGTTTAGGCTGCGGGGAGGAGGTTTGCTGCAGAGTGGTTAGGCAGACCCTGCCACCTGGCTTTGGCTTTTGACCTCACTCCCTGCAGCAATCTCAGCCGCTGGAGCTAACACCTATGCCACAGAACCACTGGCCACCGACAGAATAAGAGCAGGGCCCCAGTCTGGTCCTCAGCATCCCATTTTGGGAAAATTGAGGCTTACAGCAGTGCAAGCAGGAGAAGGCAGCGGCCCTATAAAATTAAATAGCACCTGGACCTGACTTTTCCTTGCTCTCAGGATGTGCCATCGCTGGGAATGACTCCTGAAAGGCCAGAGGGGACAGGGCGTAGGTTTGGGTCTGCCCACCTCATTCCTACCGGCATCATGACTGTGAGTGATAGAGGATGCTCCTGACAGCCCCTTCCCCTGTGCTTTGTGCTCACAAGTGCACAGCAGCCAAACTGGGGGGGATGCCAATTTTTTTTTCCTGTATCACCCCAGAGCAAGCATCCCCAGCCTGGCCATGCACCCTTTTGTGCAAGCACACACACAAATGCTCATGAACACGCAAATGTGGACACAGCTTCCCGTGCAAATCTATGTGCACACCCCCAGATTTACACAGCTACCGTATGCCAAATACATACACACACCCCTTACCTGTGAGGACATGCACACCCCTGCAGACACACAGCCCCCCAGCCAGCCCCAGCCACCCGTGTGCCGCAGCTCCTCCCATGCCAGGACCTGGGTGCAGCCGAGGGGGTGGCTGCAGGTGCCAAAGCTGCTGTGTTTCCTGCACATTCTGGTCTGGCAGTTAGAGCAACTGCTTCTGACCGCGGACACCCAGTGCTCCCCCAAGGAGTGGCTGCCACCAGCAACGGTGCCAAAATGCTTTGTCAGCTCCCTTCCACATGCCAGCTGGGACCTCAGGAGACCAGAGCTCATCCCCAGTCCCACGCTGGGGTCTTGCTGATGGAGAATGGCCAGACCCTGCCAGGAGACCTCAGAGAGCTGGGGCTGATCCCTGCCTGTATCTGCAGGAAGCTGGATCTGTGACTTCAGCATGCCTGAGCTATACCTAAGCAAGCAAAACCCCCTCTACAGATGTTTGAGAGCCAGCCTCGCTCCTTATATACCCCAGCCTTGATTAAAGATGACTGGGAACAACATGTGAGCAAGCATCCCTTAAAGAAACCC